TCTAAACCAATTTTTGGGATTTCGTTGGAGTGCAATTATTGAGAAAACAAATACGAAAAGTACAGCTGTTGTTGCTCTTATCTGCAATGCTATTCGATTTGTTAAATTTAATCAAAGCACTTGAGAGGCTCTGACAGGTTTCTTTGGAAACTTCATACAGAAACAGATATTTAAGTTACGAGTCTCATTAATTATAATTCTTAGAAATTGCAGGGAGTTTACTTCCCAGGAAAGGTATCATTGAAGAGTCTCGAAGTGGATGATCAATGGAACGAGACTAGAAGTTCTTCAAGAAAAGAAACAATAAGGAAAACATGTTGTATGTTAATAAGTGACAACATCTACAGAACTATTAACGAAGAAAGATACTTCGAATGTTTTAAGCTTCGGAAACAATGAAGAATCAACATAAATATTAATTGAATATTCTTTCGGCCTAAATCGCATCCAATACAGCACTTATAAAATCAAAAGTCAAAGCTGAAGAGTGAACCACTATATTTAAATCTCAAGAAAGTGAGATAAAACTAGCAGCAGCAGTTCTTTTACGCCTTTCCACAATTCAAAGTCGCTGGTAAATTGCTCACTCAATGGGTGCCATAAGAAATCAAAACAAATCCAAACACTTGCCACAGCAATCTCGCAACCTTTTGTTGTATACTTTTCAGTGCTTCAGCAAAACGCCAACAAATAAAACAAATAAAAGCAAATGCATTAAACACTTTAAATATTAAAGACCCATCATAAATTCGAAGCTTATTTTAGCAGCGCAATTGTCGAACGAGCTTCCGAGTCGATCACTGAACGACTAGAAAATTGTAATCGCATCAAAATCGTTTAAGATGCAGAAGGAAGATTAAATTTCCAGACATCGCGCTGCTCGTATCTGTACAACTGATAAAATATCCTGCAAACTAAGCAAAAGACACTCTGATACGGTGGCCACAATTTATGACTGAAATAAATGACGGCTGACTGGGTTGATTAGAGGCCATGGGCCATGGGAGTGGGCCATGGGAATGGGGTATATAATGGGCCAGCAAATGGTGGAGGAATCATTCGTTTAACGATCAAACAAACATGAAGGTTCTCGTTGTACTCGCTCTGGCTCTGGCCACCGCCTCCGCTGGCGTCTTCCCTCAGACGTTCCCTGTGCATCCCCGTGACAGGACTGTCAACCCATCGATCGAGGGTCGCATCACCAACGGCAAGGACGCTGTGGAGAACCAGTTCCCCTACCAGGTGTCCCTCAACTTTGGCAGCAACAGCGGCGGCTGGTTCTGCGGTGGCTCCATCATTTCCCCCGAGTGGATCCTAACTGCTGCTCACTGCACCAGCGGGTAAGTCACCAAAGAAGTTTCCACTGGAATCTGGAATACTAATGGAAAATGTGTTCCCCTTCCTTTAGTGCCTCCTCCGTGACCATTGGCTATGGCGCCACTGTTCGCACCTCCCCCGTGCTGAGCCAGACCGTCACCAGTGCAAACTTCCGCCAGCATGAGAGCTACAACGCGATTGTCCTGCGCAACGACATCTCCCTGATCAAGACCCCAGCTGTGTCCTTCACCGCTGGCATCAACAAGATCAAATTGCCCGCCATCTCCAGCAGCTACTCGACCTATGCCGGCCAGACCGCTGTCGCCTCCGGATATGGCAAGACCTCTGATGCCTCCAACTCCGTGGCCAGCCACCTGCAGTACGCCGACCTCACCGTTATCCCCAACAACGACTGCGCGAACACCTTCGGCACATTGATTGTCACCCCTAGGGTCATCTGTGTCGGCACCTACAACGGCGTGTCCACCTGCAACGGCGACTCTGGCGGCCCCCTGGCCCTCGATGGCGTCCAGATTGGTGTCGTCTCTTTCGGCTCCAGCGCTGGCTGTGAGATCGGCTCCCCAGCTGGCTTCACCCGCACCACCTACTACTTGGACTGGATCGCAGAGAAGACTGGTATTTCTTACTAAATGAAAATCCCAGCCGCTTTTGCTGCACAACAAATAAAATGCATATGAAAAATTTCCCGTACTACAAGGCGTATGCTTCGGTTTTTATGTGGGTGTGGGTTTATTTTTGGATGTTAGAAGTGCTAAAAATGGCATTGAGAATTCTGCCTTCAATCGATGTTTGGAAACGAATTTTGAATGCACAACTTTTTCCCCAAATGTAAACACAAAATAAAACATCTAATCATAAGAAAAACCCACAAAATAGAAATGTCTCATACCGATTGGAATGTTTCCAGCTTTTGTCCAGTTTTGTTGTGGCCTTTGAGAGGAGATATGATATGAGTGTGATATCAATACGAGTGTGTGTGGGGTGTGTCTGGGCATTGTAAAGATTTCAATTCAGCAAAATATAAGATTTTGCATTGATAGACGAGAGCTGATATATGATCGAACTTCGAGTTATCAGAGGATTGTAAATTCTGCTCTTAACTGGAGTTGAATTCTTCTAATCAAAAGCAATGACATGGCGGAAGCCGTCGGCTATATAAGCCACTCAAGATCGACATTGTGTTGACATTCGTTCGAAATGAAAGCGGTGGTGGTTGTAGTCATAGCGGGCATAGCCTTGGCGGCAGCCCTGGAGCAGCCCGTGCCCGTGAAGGACATGCCCGTGGGCAAGAGTGTGAATGGACGCATCACCATGGGCTATCCGGCGACCGAGGGCAAGGTTCCATACATTGTGAGCCTCGTTTTTAGCAATGGCAACGGCGGATCTTGGTTCTGCGGCGGTTCCATCATTGGCCACACCTGGGTCCTCACGGCCGCCCACTGTACAAACGGCGCCAGCTCTGTGACCATTGCCTATGGCTCCGTGAGGCGCCATCAGCCGCAGTTCACGCATGTGGTGCAGCAGAACGACATTCTGCAGCATGAGGCATACAGCACGAAGACCCTCAACAATGACATCTCGCTGATTCGCACTCCTCACGTGGACTTCTGGTCGCTGGTCGACAAAGTGGAGCTGCCACGGTACGAGGATCGCTACAACAACTACTACGGCTGGTGGGCTCTGCTCTCCGGCTGGGGCAAGACCTCCGATGACAGCGGCGTCTCCGATTACCTCAACTGCGTGGACATTCAGATAGCTGATAATTCCGTGTGCGAATCCTACTACGGCTCCACCACCATCACGCCCAACCATGTGTGCATTGCCACACCCGAGAATAAGGGCTCCTGCAGCGGAGATTCCGGTGGTCCGCTCGTTCTGCACGACGTCAATCGCCAGGTGGGCATTGTGTCCTTTGGCTCCTCCGCTGGCTGTTTGTCCAACAGCCCCAAGGGTTTGACTCGGGTTACTGGCTACTTGGATTGGATACGTGATCACACGGGCATTTCCTACTAAAGAGCATCAAAGATTGAACAAATAAAGAACATATACTGTAAATAATGTTCCCAAAAACGTTTTTAATTTGTATTTTTTTTAATAAGAAATTCCAGTGTGATCACGAATCCAATCCAAGTAGCTGGTGACACGCACCATGCCCTTGGGGCCATTGGACAGGCAGCCAGCAGAGGAGCCAAAGGACACAATTCCCACCTGGCGATTGCCGTCGTGCAGGACCAACGGGCCGCCAGAGTCGCCGTTGCAGGTGCCCTTGTTCTCGGGCGTGGGAATGCAAATCAAATCACCCGAGAAGTTGCCGTAGTAGCTCTCACAGACGGAGTTCGGCCCAATTTGGACATCCACGCAGTTCAAGTACTCCGAGACGCCAACATCGTCAGAGGTCTTGCCCCAGCCAGAGACCAGAGCCCACCAGCCCTGATAGTTGTTGTAGCGATCATCGTAGCGGGGCAGCTCTACCTTGTTGACCAGCGACCAAAAGTCCACGTGGGGAGTGCGAATGAGAGAAATGTCCCCCGATCCATGCTCGATAAAGTCGTTGCGTCCCACCCAGTGGGTGTACTGAGCCTGGAGACGCCACAGGGCGCCGTAGTAGATGGTCACCGACTCCATGCCGTCCGTGCAGTGCTTGGCAGTCATCACCCAAGTGTTGCCAATGATTGAGCCACCGCACCAGGTGCCGCCGCCATTCCTGCTGAAGCCCAGACCCACAATGTATGGGACCTTGCCCTCGTGCGCCGGATAGCCCATGGTGATGCGACCCTCAATATTGGCCTTGCCCACGGGCACATCCTTCCAGAACACGGGCTTCTCGAACGCCGACGCGGAGGCAATCACTCCCAAAAGCAGAATTCCCAGCACTTTCATTTTGATGAGAAAAACGTATTAGAATTCAACTGAGTGAGCGCTGGTGGTTATATACCCATCGAATAGAGCGAACCATTTGCCGGAAATCAATATAAATGTTGAAACAAAATAATTTACAATATGCAGATATCTACATTACCAATAAATCTTGAAGAAATCTGCAGATAACGATAAGATTTATTCGTCTGCTTGCATAATCAGCGAGTATCAAATATAATAATTGATAAACTCGAAAATGTAAGGTACCTCTTTTGAATTTATCAAAGCGCGCTATATTCAAATTAACCGCCTTCCCAACGCAAGCGCCCCCTGTCGCATTTCTCTGGTACAATTATTTAAAATGCACCGGTCCGGCCACAATTCGCTATATTTCGATATCTATATCGATAGACACGCACATCGTTAAAACCACTCTGGAAACACTCGCAGAAATAAATACTTTTTAATATGGTGAAATAATTGAGTTTTGTGCTATTTTTGTTGGTTGCCCTTTTTAGTTTTAATCTTAATTTGGGAACATGCCAAGTCAATGAAGTCGTGATCTCTTGTGGAGAATTGATTGATAAATCGTATAGAATTATTGTTTTAGCGCGGAGACTCCTAACTAGCAAGTAATATCAAATAGAACATAAAAACCGAACAAAATAATTTAAGATTCACGGTACTTACAGTATATTTTGAAAATGCAAGGGTATATTTCCGAGGGTCTGTCGGTACATTTTATCGATAATTCCGCGGTCACACTGCTTTTAAGCGAAACAAAACAAAAAAAATAACATTTATTAACAAAAAAAACACAGAACCGACGCCAAAACTCTTGCCACAAATAGGTATACTTGGCTTTGAGCGCTGTGCCCAACATTTTGCAAAGTTGCCGCCAGTGGTGGTGGCGCTCGTCTTGTGAACAGAAAAGCCCCCTCCCCCCCAAGGAGATTACCGACAGACAGACGCCCAAAAAAAGAGTTGAGTTAAGGAAAAGGTATTGGAAATGCGTGCTTTAGCGGCCAGCAGACAGACGTAATGGACAACATTGTGCATAACTTTGCCAACATCACATTTCAGCCGAAAGAAGTCGGATTGTCGGAGAATCGGTAAGAGACAGCCACAAAAAACCAACAAAAGTCAGACCTAACATGCATTTCACAGCTCCGCGAGCAGTAGCAGCTTCTTGTGGAGCCTGAAGCCTATGGCTACGGCCACGGCCACTGTCACTGCCATGTCTGATGTGGAGGAGATGCAGGATGGTTCCAAGGAATCAGAGCCCAGCGAGAGCAGCGATCAGTCCGATGAGGTGGACTCGCAGCTCAGCCGCGGGGAGGACGATGACAGCGACTGGCAGAGTGGTGGCAGCAGTCGCAAGGGCAGCAGCAGCTATGTGTTGGGGGGACGAGCTGGTGTGGCTCGCCGCCGCATGCCGGCACGCGTCTCAAAGGACAACTTCAATCGGGTCTGCAGTGCCATCATGAAGCCCATCAAGAAGAATCGCCGCAAAGAGCTGACCACAAATTCGCAGACGCTCAGGACCATCGAGAAGATCTACACGAACAAGCGCATGAAGAAGTTTATACCTACAAATCTCGAGACAATCTTTGAGGAGCCCAGCGACGAGAATGCCGCCGATGTGGAGGACGACAGCGAAGAGTGCTCGATCAGCAGCCAAGTGAGAATTGTAAAATTTGGCAACCGTAAGATGCGACGCGCCATTTCCTTCAGTGACGGACTGAACAAGAACAAAATCCTGCTGAAGAAGCGACGCCAGAAGGTGAAGAAAACCTTTGGCAAGCGCCTCGTCCTGAAGAAGATCTCAATGACAGAATTTCACGATCGTCTCAACAAGAGTTTCGACAGTGCAATGCTCGAGGGGGATGAAGGTGATGCTGGAGGAGGAGGAGGAAACGCCGAAGCCAAGACTGCCATGACGATGGATGATATGCAGCTGCCCGCACTGAGCAGCCAGTATCACATGCAGCAGCTGGGGCTACCGCAGCCACAACCACAGCCGGCGGCGTTCGATTAGAGGAGAGACTGAAGCATCAGTGCATAATACACGTTATATCATTACTACACTCGGATAGATTGTGTCACTGTTTTACACTTTACACCCATTGAATCATAAATTACGCTACTGATAGATATTACGAATAGTGTCCAAATGAAAAGTGACCGCAGGTGGGTTCCCATTGGGACTGCAATCTCGCCTGCGGTCACCTGTACTGATACCAATTATTGAAGCTAGGATTACCGATCAACCAACGTGCACATTACTTCATTTCACGCCCCCTAGCTATATAGAAAGTCGTGGTAGGAACAACTCAAGCAACCCATTAAAGTTATCACATTTGTATGTAAATAGCGAGTAATCTAAACTTAAGTTTCATCCAGCCATAGAATACGATTCTGTGCGTAGTTCGTAAGTGCAGAATAAATGTTGTAAAGAAAATGAAAACAAAAGTAGCCTCCACCTCCTACTCCACAAATGAAATGCGAAACGGAAGCCCTGAGCGACGCACGCATAAGCCGCCGCCGACGCCGCCAACCCCGCCAATTCGAGGCGTCGCAAAATGCGAAAACTGTTGGGTGCGAAATGAAATAACGGCAGAGGCATTAGCAAGTGCAATACAAATGCAGCAACAAAAACGCGCCCATTATTAATGAGTGCAACATGCAATGGGGCTGCCCCGCCGCGGCGGCGTGGTAATAACAATTCGCGATTATGCTTATGCCTTGCCTTGCCTTGTTTGTGTTGAGTATAGACGCACAGCACGAAATCGAACTGCACAACAAGCGCTGCAGCTGCAGGTGGCGTTATGATGCAGGGGAGGTAGAGAAAGGGGGCGGGTGTATAGCATGCATTTGCATAATCATTGTGTTGTTGCTATTGCCGTCGCGGATTATGTTTTTTTAGCCTCATTACCGACGAATTCGATTCGAACATATCACCGAGACGATTTTGTTTATTTGGTTGGCTAGGCGCAGACCCAGACCGCAGTCAGTACCAGCAGTAATTGTCTAAATAGACAGACAACAGAAATACTTTCAACACAAAATTAAAGTTATTTCAGGCAGCCGCAGGCGGTGCACGAATTAATTTAATTAAAAATACATATTTTTAATGCTGCACTTCCATTTCCTGCTAAGAATTCTGCGCATGCCGCATGCAACTCCATCAATGGAAAACTGTTAATTTGTTTACCAGCCACACACAAAACAAATGGCAAGGCATGCGACAAAAAAAAGCCAACGCCGGCAATAACCTTGAGTTGTCAGAAAGAGGGTCAAAGAAGCTGCACAGTGGGATGTGGGAACACGAACTGCTTTCCTACGCCCACGCAGGGTAAGCCACCGCTAAACAGGCACGTGTGCCCACTGTGCGGCGTGATGAAATGCGAGACGCCAAACAAAATGCAAAGTTATAACTGTATCGTGCAATCTTATTGTTTCACTTACCGACAGCCTCTCTCACTGTCCCTCTCTTGCGCACGCGCTTTTCTCAATGAAAGCAGATTCCCTCTCACTGCATAATGGCGATCAAGAGAGCAGAGCATTATATGCGTGATGTAATAGCACCAATGCGGGCAGACAGTAACTCGAGTTACAGCTTCAAATATAGTTTAAATGGTAAAACCACTAAACCAGCAGGCAAATGTTGTATTTTCGGCCAAAAAAAAAAGCACAAACAACACGCGGATATTTTTGCGACTATGTGACCGACGACCGACCGATCAAAAGGGAGCACAAACTTTGAATGAAAAAGGAAGAAGCAAATGAAGAGAAAGAATGCGATGCCCTGTGTGTGACACTGTCAAACAGTAAAAGCGCAAGCGTGACCAATCATAGCTGCAGTGGAATGAAGTGAGAGTGAGATGAGAGCATATGCAGATTGACATGCAGCCGTCAAATTAAACGAAATTGATGCAACTGTAATATAATTGCGAGCACAAAATGAACGTTGCAGCGGAGAGGCGACGGGGCCGAATTAATGCAGCAAAATAGATGAAATAATGAAGGTGGTTCGAAGAAATGGCTGGCGAAAGAGTTTATAAAAATGCTGGTAAGCGGCGCGCGCCGCACCAGTACCTTACGAGACGCTCGTCGGTGTTCATGTCAGTGGCAAGTGTGGCAAGGTGGCAAGCAGTAAAGTAGTAGCAGTAAAGTAGCAACCGAGATTATAAACGCGTTGTCCAGCGTAACGGCTTTTCGAAACGGGAAGGCAGCGCAGTGAGCGAGCGAGCGACTGAGCGACCGGACGTGGGGCGAGCGGCGCCAATCCAATGAATTAAAGGAGGAAGCAGTGCAAAAGTGCCACTAAATAAATCGCAATTAACAGTTAAATGCGTGCGCGAACAAAGCAACGCAAATGTTTACACAATCAGCAGGTGCCACCTCCTCCATTGTTGCCACACTAACTAATCGATTTCGGAGGCGATCCCCAAATCGGTCCCACGCCAGGCCGCCGCACTCGGAAACGAAGCTGCTCACCTGGATTGCCCTGCTCTATGCCGCCGCCTCCAGCTCCCTCGGCGGCGTGGCAGCGGCACTGGACTGGCAACAGGTTAAGCCAATGTATTTAGTCTCCATGTATCCGGGGCCGCTCGGCTTGTCGCAGTCTGCCTCCTCCACCTCCTCCTCCTCCTCCATCTCCTCGTCGATGGAGCAAGATGCGGAAATGAGTGCCAGCAACCTGGATAGCCGTATCAATGGAAGAGGAAATGGGAACAGTGACGAGGATGTGGATGTAAGAGAGCCTTTGGTCTTGAATCTGGAGACCACACCGCTGCTGGAGAAGATGCTGCCCGAAGGGGCCATGGCCATGGATCGCATATTCGGCGGTAACGTGGGCAATCCGCACTGTTTCCCCTACCAGGTGGGCATGCTGCTGCAGCGTCCCAAGGGTCTCTACTGGTGCGGCGGCTCTCTGATCTCCGATCAGCACGTGCTGACAGCGGCGCATTGTGTGGACATGTAGGACCGGTATGATAACTGACACAGAACCCAACCCGCCTAACCGATTGTTTTCCCCACTGCAGGGCCAAGCGAGCGCTCGTCTTTCTGGGCGCCAACGAGATCAAGAATGCCAAGGAGAAGGGCCAGGTGCGGCTGATGGTGCCCAGCAGTAATTTTCGCATATATCCCACCTGGAATCCTAGGCGCTTGAAGGATGACATAGCCGTGGTCAAACTGCCCCACGCTGTCAGCTTTAATGGTAACACGGAGAGTCGGGGAACCCTCTTTACAGAGGAATTCACTCTCCTTCCTTTCAGATCGCATTCATCCCATACAGCTGCCCAAACGGCACTACGAGTATCGCAACTTTAAGAACAAGCTGGGCATCGCCTCTGGCTGGGGACGCTATGCCACTGGTGTCCATGCCATCAGCAATGTCCTTCGTTATGTGCAGCTGGAGATCATCGATGGGCGGACGTGCAAGTCAAACTTTCCGCTATCCTATCGCGGCACGAATATCTGCACCAGTGGCAGAAATTCTCGCTCCACCTGCAACGGAGATTCCGGCGGTCCACTCGTGCTGCAGCGACGACAGTCCAAGAAGCGAGTGTTGGTGGGCATCACTTCGTTTGGCAGCATCTATGGCTGCGATCGTGGCTATCCGGCAGCCTTCACCAAGGTGGCCTCGTACCTGGACTGGATCAGCGACGAGACGGGCGTCAACGCTCATCAGGACACCACGGAGGCGATTTTCTTCGATAAGTATGTCACGGACTATGGCAAGCCACGCCAGAGTCGAAGACTAGAACAGCGGCGGCAGCACGAAGATCAGCTGGAGGAGGATGATCAGCCCGATGAGCTGGATGTGCATCCCAGCTCCGACGAGGACATGTTCGTTGATGTCAGCATGCGCACGCACGCCAAGCGGCAGCGTCCTCATCATAGACCCAAATCCGAATACGAGTTTTATTTCTTGTAATCCAAAATAAACATTTAATTTAAGACAATTCTTCATCCTTGTTGCCGTAGTTGACGACGCCACTCCGGGCCTCAATCCAGTCCAGGAAGGAGGTGATGCGGGTGAACACACCCGGCCAACCCACCTCGCAGCCCACAGAAAGGCCAAAGGATGTGGCACCAATCAGCGTGTTGCTGCCATCAGCCAACACCAAGGGACCACCAGAATCCCCGCTGCAAATGGACGTTCCACCTGTGGTCTTGATGCAAATGTGATTGTCGCTAATCATGCCAAAGTACCAGAACTTGCAGCCGCTGTTGGACATGATTGGCACTTCAATGAACTGCAGAAGGTCGGTGACAGCCGTGGCAGCTAATTGGAATGAAATTTGATTGAAAACTAACGTCCGGGAACTCCACGAAGGGCAACTCACAATCGCTGGTCAAGCCCCAGCCTGAGGCAATGGCACTCTTGCCGCTGTAATTTTCGTAGCTTAAGTCTGATGATTTCACGGGCAGATTGGCAGGTTGAATGTACTCTACAAGAGAAGAAGTAACTTAGCAGGAACTCCGGGGAATATATATCTTTATATCCCACCATTCAGTTCAATTGCCACTGGCAGCTTGATCAGCGAAATGTCATTGCTTAGGGTCGCTGGATTCCAATCCTCGTGCACGATCACGTACCGAGTTTGCACAAAGATGATCTGTTGGCCCTTCTCCTTGGCGTTGGTGTGGTCATGGGCGCCCAAATAAACATCCACACCGATGGTCAGACTATCCGTGCAATGAGCAGCAGTCACAATCCAACGATCGCTGATCAAAGTGCCACCGCACCAGGCAGCGCCTCCCTCGACGTACAGTAGAAGTCCCACTTGGTAGGGGAACTGATTGCGGCTGGCTAGAGTGCCTCCGGTGATGCGTTCCTTGGGAACACTGTGGCGACCAATCATAGGAACATCTGTATCGATATTCAGACTTCTGACGGACTGCCAATCCACAGCTTGGGCGCCCAAAACAGCGACCAGAAACACAATCGATGCGCAAACAAATTTCATTTTGATTTAAACTAAAGTTCTCAACAGGAATCCGATGGCTTTTATACCAAATCCACATTAGATTGACCATTTGCAGTGGTGCTGCCCACAGGCCAAGAACAAATCAATGTGATTTGCTATAGATTAAGGCGCGACTCTGATGCTACCAATCATCGATAAGGTTTGATAAGAAACGAGCGAACACAAGAACCAAGAAGAAGTGTGAGCAGAATGGGCTTATCATGGGCAAGATCTATCTGTTCGTAGTAAGCTTATCAAATATGAGGAACGACTGAGAAGATTATTGAATTGGAACTTTGATCTTTTTCAGATCATTGATAGATATTTTCATTAACAAAAGAGAACCATTTATTTTGGAAGAGAATTCCGCCTCTAGTTGCCATAGTTGACAACGCCAGTGTTGGCCTCGATCCAGTCCAGGTAGGAGGTGATGCGGGTGAACACACCGGGCCATCCCACCTCGCAGCCAAAAGCAATGCCAAAGGAGGTGGCACCAATCAGCGTGTTGCTGCCATCGGCCAACACCAAGGGGCCGCCGGAGTCACCGTTGCAGGTGGAAGTTCCACCAGTGGTCTTGATGCAGATGTTAGTGGAGCCGATCAGGCCTAAGTACCAGGGAGAGCAACCGCTGTTCTTCATGATTGGCACCTCAATGTACTGCAGAATGTCGGTGACAGCAGAGGCAGCTAAACCGAGGAAAGTGAAATTAAGTAAGAGTGGAAATCGGACGAGGCGGCTACTCACAATCGCTGGTCAAGCCCCAGCCGGAAGCGATGGCTGTCTCGCCGCTGTAGTTGTTGTAGCTGTCGGCCTTGACCGGCAGTTTGGCGGGCTGAATGTGCTCTGCAAGAGAAGAATCGGCTTAAGAAGGTTCCGAGAGAATTTAGGAGTTCCAGGACGCACCATTCAACTCAATTGGCACTGGCAGCTTGATCAGGGAAATGTCGTTGGTGATGGTTTCGGCCATCCAGTTCTCGTGCACAATCACATTCTTCTTCTCCACAAAGATGAGCTGTTGGCCGACCTCCTTGGCGTTGGTTTGGTTATGGGCGCCCAAATAAACATCGACACCGGTGGTCAGGCTGTCCGTGCAGTGAGCAGCAGTCACAATCCAACGATCGCTGATCAAAGTGCCACCGCACCAGGCAGCGCCTCCCTGAACATACAGACGTAGTCCCACCTGATAGGGGAACTGGTTGCGTGTGGCTAGAGTTCCACCGGTGATGCGACCCGTGGGTGCACTGCCCCGGATCTTCGGGGCTTCGACCTCGATGTTCAGATTCTTCAGGGACTGCCAATCCACGGCTTGGGCGCCGAGAACGGCGACAAGGAGCACAACCGAAGCGCAAGCGAGTTTCATTTTGACTTCAACTAAAGTTTCCACCAGGAATCCGAAGGCTTTTATAGTGACTGTCCGCAACATGTGTGGATCATATTTCATCGACTATCTGTGGGTGTATTACCCAGTGCCTGGAATAAACCAGGTTAATTTATTATGGATTGATAATGGCGATGCTACCGATCTTCGATAAGGCAAAGAAGCGATGTGCCGATAAGGAACGAGTCAGCGAGCGAAACTAGAAGTTTGAATTGATTTGGCCCAGAATGGATTTATATTGCCTTATCAGGGTCAGAGTAAGTTTATCAATCAGAGCCATGGACGAGCCCACGACATGGAAAAATGTTAAAAGAAAACCTTAAAGAACCCTCAAGAAATAAAAGATAGAACGTACTTTTGCTTGATGGATTAGTAACTGGATCTATATCTTTATATATACTATAATTAATAATCAAAACAAGCAATCAACTCAACTCTATATAAAAATGAAAGTTCTATAAGTGCTAACATTTCAAAATCTTATCGCTGTGATAGCTGAATCCGCAGACATCAATTAGCAAGGGTGTGTGATTTAATTTTATAATTTATTGAGCACAAAACAATAAAACAAACTCTACGATACGACGATGACATGAAATAGTTTTCCTATGTCGAATGAGCTTCCTGCCGACTCATTCGACTTGTGGCGTCATCATTCATTCGCCATTCATTCCATTTGTTCGCACCTCTACGCCAGAGTCCGACGAATGCATCCAAGCCTAAACGTTTTACTTCCCCTCAATTTAATTAAGAGGCTAAGTATTTGGCCAAAAACACTTCCAAACTCATTACTTATGGAATGCCAAACCATAAAACTTAATATAAAATGCACAGAAATAAAATGATAAAAGGGGGCGGCCAAAGCAAAAGCAAATTAAATAAACTAAGCAGAAAACATGAAGAAAAACGGAAATGGATTTAATACAATTTCTGTTTGTGTGATTTTTTTCAATTGAAGGTCGTATCAAAGTTAAGAGACGAAACCTTGCCACAGAGCAGAGAGTTATCCAGAAAACACTCCACACATACAATCTATTCATCTGTGGAAGGACAAGTTGCTCCATTTAATTAGCTGCAGCTTTCTAAATGTGAAACAATCCAACAATGACACCTGCCAGACGCTTAAAACTATAATATTAAATTAACCATATGACACTATCTTGCTATAAATCTATACATCTGTTTGGGTAGCCGTTCTATTAACTGCCCAACAACGGGCAATAGCTAGGTACATGTACTGCCAGCCAAAAGTCCTTGAAATTACTCCAAAACAAATATAATTAAAAACATTAAATGCGTAGCAGAAAAATAAAAAAAAATTAGCAACGAAAATAAAATAAGCATCGAATTTGAAAATACACTGGCATTTTGGAGATAGAATCCAGGATAGGTGCAAAATGTGAAAAACATGTCAACAGGTTTAGGTGGAAAATTCCTATAACAGTTATTTCGATTGTTAAATGATTTCGCTTCAATTTACACATCTTTAACACCTCCAATTGAGTTATCTTTGAACTCCCATCAATGCATGTGCCAAATCTCTAAGCAAATTTATGCAACGCACACAATCTTTGCAAGAGTATAATTCACACAAAAAAAAACAAAACTAAATGTAACTTATTAAGCAAGATTAAACTGGTTTAAAGCGGCACAGGCAGCGGTCAAGAGAACAATATTTTGTTGTAATGAGAATTGCCAGAGACTTGATGTATCAGAATCAGGCTGCAAATTCATAATTAATAAGTAATATTATAAATGAATGCATGTGCCGCCGCCTCCACTCCAGAAGACAAAGTTATCTCCATAATTGAACAGAGTACACAAAAATATAATGATAAAACAAAGCCACAGGCGCACAAACCCATTAAAATTATGAATTTTGAACAAATTAAGAGTTAAGCGAAGTAATAAGTAATATTCCTGAAACCTGTTGGGGGGGTTGTACGTAGAGATCTGCTGAATGTCTTTGCTGAGAGTTGAATTGCCTCTTGTCTGGGCAATTTATGAATGGACTGACGTGTGCATGGAACTGACTGACTGACTGAAACTCGTGCACGAATTGAACAAATAATCTTTGGCTAATTTCCTCAATAACGGAATGGTTGGAGCATGAATCACAAGCATTATGCCGCCTGGCCTGCCTTGTGGGTTGTTATTAATAAAGTGCAGGTCCCAGACCCGACCCAGCTGGGCTCGAAGCACGAGCTGCACTCTTGATGGGTGCAGAGTGGAGTCATGCTTGGGCAGGGCTTAAAAATAAAAGCTAACAAAATGCCATCCATAAGATCGGCGATCATATCGCCTTTTTTTGGGGCTCGCCAGAGTCCACTCTCGCGAATCGTAAGTGTTCCTTGCCCGATGCCGATTCTTTTGATTCTGATTTCGATTCGAACCGGTTTGCCAGCTGTGTGAACCAAACGAAACAGCTGCTCGAAGCTAACTTTCGCCTGCCCGCTCGGCGGCTTCTTGTTCTGAGCAGAAGCAGCAGCAGCAAGTGCAGCGGGCAGCGCGAAGCTGAGCTGAGCTCAGCAGAGTAGCTGGGAGCAGAGCAGAGGCGGAGCTTATATAAAAACGACATTTGGCGCGCGTGCTCACTCAGTTGCAGAACAGAACCCGAAACAGAAACGAATTCGCGCGCGTGCGCCGTCAGCAACGGTTTCGTTTTCGATTTGAGTTTTGAATTTTGAATTTTGATTTGGAATTATTTCGCATTTGTCGGTGTGCAAAAAAGTGAAGTTCTTCTAAGAACGCAAGGTTGCACAAATAAAATATAAATATAAATTATATTCAAGTGTAATATAACTTACCGCAAACATGGAAGGTCAGGCCAAGCAAGCGTACTTCGTGAATGAAGCATTCAATCATGAGGAGCACCCACATGGAGACAATCTGCATCGACGGAAGAGCGGCGGCACCAACAAGGAACTGCAATTGGATTTGGGTCAACACAAGAAGGGTCAGGATGCGACGGGCAATGGTGTGGACACTGGCAATGGCTTACCCAGCATTGACTTCGATGATTTACTGCCGCTGATTGGGGAGTTTGGCAGATACCAGAAGATCCTCTTCATCTGCATGATACCCTTCTCGTTCTTCGTGGCCTTTGTGTACTTCTCGCAGATATTTCTAACGCTGATACCCGAACAGCATTGGTGCCATGTCCCAGAGCTGGATGGCCTGGATGTGGAGGCCAGGTGAGTCAACAGCATTGGGTTTTTCCTCCATAAAAATCTAGCACAAGCCAAGGCAACACTTTGGCCATTTGGTTTGGCTTCACGTAATCTGCGTAATAAATATTCAAATGGAAAAGTTGATTACTTAGCGAGCTACAAAGAGGCAGCAATGCAGTGGCTAACGATTTATTCAAATTATTATAAGACACTTCTATGTGTGTTCCCCCTCAATCTCCTTGCTAGCTTTTATTCTATTTCATCTAAATACCAGTTCGAATACCAACCGGAAATAATTTAATTGTGCGTAAATGGCAATCCATGGGTATGCGGTTCCGTTTCACTTTCACAAATAAAAAACAAAGCAAAAAGCAGCGGCAGGCACTTGATCGATCGATTACTACACAGACTCATACGAGTAAAAACTAACAAGCGATCCACAATTGATCCCCAGCAATCACCTTGATATCGAAAGGCTAAGGCTAATACCGGTTTGGACACAGCCACGAACCAACGCCATTTGACCAAGACCAAAATCCGCACAATTCTAATAGACAAATTATAGAGTAAAGTAAGAACAGAAAACAAAAAGTGTACAAAATATTTGCAAGCGATCTTAAAACGATTTGAAAATGTAATGAAACGAAACGAATTTTCGAGTTCAAGTGTTCTGAACCAACAAAAAGCCAAACAGCCACAACAGTCAGGCAGTTAGTTAGACAGAGTCATTAATGCGTCCAGTCCAAGTTGAAGTGGACGGCTTAGAACGGCTGCCAGCCTGACCTTGGGCCATGATTGAGTTTTCCAGTCAATGCGACGGCTTAATAAGGCAAAGAACCTTACGAAAAAAATCAACGTTCGATCATCTGTATAATTGCTGAGTGGTCAGCTGCTCCTAGCAGATTGAGGGTTTCGCTTAAGCCCCCCCACACACACACAGAGAGTTGGATAAGAGATACCCGTACTTACTAGTCAGCCAGTGGGCCGCCTAATTAGCGGTAGCTTAGCGTGAACATTGCGACAACTCAGCAGCAGTACAAATACGAGTAACAAACAGCCAGCACGAAGACTAATGTTGTGTGGCGGACTCGCAACGTGCTTATGATGCAGTAGAGTGTGTAGTAGACTGTCGGTAAGCGAATGTTGAACACGCTTACCATGTTGCCAGAAAAACAAACCAGAAAAACACTTTCAAAGCTTAATGAAGAGTTAACTGAAATTGTAGTTAAAGTAACTGATTCATAACTGGTGGAGTTCTTAGCAAGGGGATTAACAAATTAGGGGTTTAGCAAATATAATTTGAGGTTGGTTCCTCACTCTCCACAGTCCAACCTGCACTCGAAACACTCTTTAAATTCCACATCAAATGAGAGCATTCTGCAGTTTCAAGTGTAGCCAAAAACGTTTCGTATTGAAACCGCAAGTACCCAATCAAGATCATGATAATTAAGTTGTCACACAGACACATGCGTCATTTATGTGGCTTTGTGGCTGCGTGTGAGTCGTAGTTTACGCAGTGCAGAAAGCCGTGTTGTTGGCCATGGCTTAGAGCGTTGCTGAGAACTGAGAAAACCCCACAGCCAGAGACAGACGGAGACAATTCGACGGCGATTGACCCTGGAGATGTGTTAATTGCAACAGCCAAAACCTAACCGAAACTAAGCCTCTCCTCTACCCCCCTCCGTTTCCGTTTCGTTCCACAGACTGGCGCTTTCTATACCCATGATGAATGGGGAATACAACAATTGTTACATGTACGACGTGAACTACACCGAAATTATGGCCCAGGGCAAGGTGATGGCCGATCCCAAGTGGCCGAGGGTCAAGTGTCGCCACGGCTGGTCCTACAACTACACGGAGATACCCTACTCCACAGTGGCCACCGAACAGAATTGGGTGTGCGATGACGCCGCCCTGCCCACCTATGCCCAGTCGATTTTCTTTCTGGGTGCCATTGTGGGTGGCCTGCTGTTTGGCTGGGTGGCGGATCGTTACGGACGCATTCCGGCACTGATTGGCACGAATCTGATTGGGCTCTTTGCCGGCGTTGGCACTGCATTTTCGAACAGCTTTTGGGAGTTTGCTGCCATGCGTTTCTTTGTGGGGTTCGCCTTTGACAATTGCTTCACCATGATGTACATTTTGGGTGAGTTTTTCAAGCTGCCAGCTCAAGTGGATTTCCAACTAAGTAAAGTCTGTTCTTGCCCTCACAGTCCTCGAGTATGTGGGTCCCAAGTATCGCACATTTGTGGCCAACATGTCCATTGCCATATTCTTTACGGGCGCCGCTTGCCTGCTGCCTTGGATTGCCTACTTTGTGGCCGACTGGAAGCTGCTGGCAATCATTACATCCGCGCCGCTGCTCCTTGTTGTCTTCACACCGCTGATTGTGCCCGAGTCTGCGCGCTGGCTGGTTGCCCAGGGCAAGGTGGACAAAGCCATTTCGATACTCAAGAAGCTGGAGCGACGCAATGGCCGCCAGGTGCCCGAGCAGACTTATCAGCACTTTGCCGACAGCTGCCGCCGCATGCGGGAGCAGGAGGCACAGAATGGCAGCTACTCCGTTCTGGATTTGTTCAAATCCCCTCGCCTGCGTCGCACCACACTGCTGCTCATTGTCATCTGGATGGCCATTTCGCTGGTGTTTGATGGGCATGTGAGGAATGTTGGCTCCCTGGGCCTGGACATCTTCTTCACCTTTACGGTGGCTTGTTTCACGGAGCTGCCGGCTGACACACTCCTCACTGTGACCCTGGATCGCTTTGGACGTCGCTGGTTGGCCTGTGGCTCCATGGTGGCCAGTGGTGTCTTCAGTCTGTTGGCTACCGTTGTGCCCGTGGGCGTCTACTCCGCTGCCTTGGCCATTATGGGACGATTCTTTGTCAATATCAGCTACAACATTGGACTGCAGTGGGCGGCCGAGGTGCTGCCTACAGTGGTGCGTGCCCAGGCGGTGGCCTTCATTCACATCATGGGCTATGTGGCCAGCATCATTGCACCTTTCGTCGTGTACTTGGCCAACATTTCTCCAGCTCTGCCGCTGATAATTCTGGGTCTGCTGGGCATCGTTGGCGGTTTGTTGTCGCTTCTGCTGCCGGAGACGCTTAATCACGATCTGCCGCAGACCCTCAGCGATGGGGAGGAGTTTGGTCGGGGTCAGAGCATTTGGGATTTCCCTTGCCTGGCCAAGCAGGTGGACGAGGACGGAGAATCGCGCAGGAACACGGATGTGGAGATTCGTTCTCAGGCCTTTGTGCGGGGCACACAAACAGGAGCCTCCCTCTCTGCCTCTACGGGAGGAGAGCTGCGCTCCAGCATATTGCGCAGATCGGTAAAGTCACGAAACTCTACGAAGCTATAGAGGATCAGATCAGTCAGTCCCTTTAGCTCTTAGGTAGTCAAAACTCAAACAACTGTAGCCTTGCCTTGCATTTTTAGCATCAACTAGCCTCTAAGCGTCTTTGTAGACTTTTGTGATACTAGAAATAAGAAATCTCATGCGCCTCCTGAACAAAACATCAAAAATAAATAACGAAAATATTTAAATAGCAGTGCTGCCATCTAGCAGGGAAAGTGAGAACTACTGCCGTACTACTGCTGCTATGCCGTGTGCTACCATCTAATAGAAATCACTTGAACTATAGAAGAGAACTTCGCTGTTATTTCGACAGGTGGCGCTGCTGTCATGTAGCAAATTACTTGCATTCTACATGCACTGCACATTATTTTCTGTAAATCCACAATCAAGTCCACTTTCTGTTTGTTTTTTAAATTGGTTCACTGTGCCGGGTCGTTTTATGATGAGACTGGAGATTTGCGGGGTGCAAAAGGCAATTAAACATTGTAAACCTTCGCTGATATTATCGGCACACGGGTCAACACCGAGATCCCCGTGCAAACACCGGATGAAATGAACAACAAATACAAATAGAAGCCGACGAGCGACCCCCGGACTCACCTATAAAACCATTGGCATGGGAGCCATCTTCGAACAGTTGAGGACGCTATGGCAGTCTGCGTTTGGTTACTTTTGGTCCTGACACTGAGCGCCGCACTGGATAGCGGCAGCAGCTACTCGAACAACAGCAGCAAACTGTTGGCAGTGCTGAATGCATCTGCTCCTGCAAGCGAAGTGCTCTTCCACATCGATGTGTGGACTGGCGAAGCGGACGTGGCAGGAGCATTGAGAGGTCCCGCTGCCAGCAACCTAGAGTCCGTAATCCGCTCTGAGGTGAGCGGCGACTGGAAGCGTGGACAGGTGGTGCTTCTATTAGCGAATCAAGCGCGAACGCCGGAGCTGAAGCGAGCCATTTATACTGGACTCTGGAAGGAGTTGAAGCAGACCAAACAGATCTACGATCCGCTCAAGATCTTGGACTTTTACGATCAACTCGCGCTCAATTCGGATGTTCCGCCAGCACTGCTGGAGCTGGTCCATCGGGCATTTATCTCACGCAGCGCGCAGCTGATGGAAGCTCCTTTCCACACGAACAGTCGCACGGCAACATTCCCGCTGGTCGATTCGCTGCTGCATCGCTTGACTTTCAGCGCCTTAGACTATCTGCGTGATATACTGGCGGCGCTCTACGATGCGGTGCTGGCCCTGGAGACGCCTTTGAGTGTGGTCGAGCGTCTGGGCAACTTTACGGGCAGCCTCACGCAGCTGGCTTTGGCCAACCTCCAGTTGCTGCAGCGTGAAGAGCTCACGAGGGAGGATGCCCAAGCAGAAGTCTTGGATCTGGCCATGCAGGACAATCTGCGACGGCTGCTGGAGCAGCCCAACTTTGAGCAGGAAGTGGACGCGTCGCTGCGACAGCAGATCTATGCGCAGCTTCCAATGGATGAGCAGCTGCTGTACACCGCGCGCAAGGTGTGCATCCGCAACGTGACGGACAGCAATGCCTACATCTACGAGTGCCCGCAAACGTATCTGATCTGCAGCAATGCGCGGGATCCCAAGAAGGCGGCGTACTACGTGCAGCGTGGCCACAGCCTCAACGACAGTCGACCACAGTTTGCTTTCTACAGCGCCTTCTGGCGTAATCGATACATCCTGATGGAGCCATCACCGCTGGCAGCCAGCAATGCAACGAATGCGATTACCAAGAACGTCTACAGCCGGGCCAACATCAGCTGGTGGCGTGTGGTTTATCGCAATGGTGGAGTTTCCTTCTACGATGCAGCAACCGAAAACTCCGTGCTGTGCGGCGGTGATCCCATCCACTTTGATGGCTTGGAGCGGCACGTCTACACACGCAAGGCATCGGAGTTTGCAGCCCATCGAGCGGAGTGCACCTGGAGCGTCGAGGATTGCAGCGATGCCGCCTAGCTGTAGATAGAGAGGGAGAAATCACACCCTCAATAATTATTTCTATGTTTATTTGTCAATAAAAAGGCACAGGAAAATGTAAGCGGTCTACCTCTGCATAAAGTCCCAAGGTATGCACACAACACCATCGGTTAGCACGGAGTAGTAGTTCGTTATGTGCAGCTTGACCTGTTGCAAATGCGGCAGCTGCATCTGGGACAGCTCTCGCAGGGCCACAATCATCTTGTCGGGCGTGACGGCATCGTCTTTGGTGAGCGTTTGCAGCTGCAGCTCCTTCATGCACTCGTCCATGAGCTGCTGCTCGATGTGTTTGTCCTCGGCGTACTTGTTCATTAGCTCACGCGACGATTGCATATTCTGGCTAATAAAGTCGACCAGTATGACGCCCGGACATGTGGCTGGGGTGATGAATTGACCCGTGGGACTGACCATCAGTGGGCCGGCCTCTGATTCCACGACAATGGTGAATTCGTGCAGCGTCTCTGGCCAGTTCTTGGGGTACTTCTGCTTGCCCAAATAGTCGCCCAGCGATGTAGTGACTTTCATGAGGTAGTTGGCATAGCCGCGGGCCTGCTGCTTTGGCATGAACTTGCGTCGTCCAATCTGAATGCCACGCAGCACCTGCGAGAGCGTCTGCTCGTAGATGGGCACCACCTTGAGGTATGTGTCGTGATGCGGAATGTTCTTGATGAAGTCAATCCAATTGTTCAGCACATCCCCGGTGAACAGCATGACATGTCCCTCCAGGCTGATGCCCGTGAAGGGTGCAAAGACCACAATGCGATCCCGCAGCGGCTCCATCTCCGCCAGGTGGGTGTTGGCCAGACGCTCCAGCGTCTTCAGGCAGCCTCGATAGTGCTCGATGTTCCAGCCGCATTCGTAGCGAGCATCGCGCAGCTTCAGCTTCTCCACCAGCACTTTTTGCAGCTTGTTAATCTCCGCCTGCAGATCGGCAGTTTCCTTGGCCCGCTGCTTGGCTTTGTCGGCGTTCTCCTCCAGCCAGGTGGTCAGTACAGGACGCATGCTTGCCCGCTCCTGTGGGTTAAAATGGGGAATCAACATTAATCGAGTATGGAGGGGGCAAAGTCTACACTCACATTCCTCGCTTGAGATTCGAACTCGGAGAACTCCTTGTCGTAGTGGTAGTCCTGGCCCGGCTTGTAGGCCATGCTCGTTTCCGAGCTCTTTGGTGGTTCCGGCTGTGTCCTAATGGTCCGCACATAGTCCGTTGACAGATTGCATGACTCCAGCAGGCTCTGGATGAATGTCTTTGGATCCCTGGTGCTCTGCCAGTCTGTGCGGATCTGGATTAGCCTGAAGGAGTCACGCTTGTCGGCGTCCGCACTGGCGCGCACATAGAACTTGAGCACTTGGCCATCGGTACTCCGTTGCGGCCGTCGCTCATACAAAGATTCGAGATGTTCGCTCAGCAGTTTCAGCGAATTTTCGTTGGTGTTTCGCTGTTCGGGATGCTGCGCAAAGAAGTCCGGATGCACCGCAAAGTAGAACGGTCGCAGTGCCGTTGTCAAGTCTGCGGAATACAGAAAACATTAGAAACCATCTCTGTAAACAAATTACAATGAAAATAACCTTGATTCAACAACCGCCGCAGCGACATCCATTGCCATCGCCTTGAACTTGACGCCAGAATCTTCAGTTTGGCAGCTTGTCCCACGCCCAGGGCCATTGACACGGACATTATGTAAGCGGTGAGCAGCAGGGAACCTGCCCGTAGTTCCAGCACACCAGCATATAGCGTGGTGCTTTCTATTTACACAATTTTTGAGTTATGATATTATTTATGTTAAATCATACGTTCAGTGTTGGACAATAATACGATGAAGATATCGGTGCATCAGCTGACAACAGTTGCCTATCGATTATTCACAGTGCTACCGCCGATAGTATCATATTTTCTGCACAGCATTTTCTAGCAAAAAAATATTTAAAAAATTTAAGTAAATACATAACTTAAACAAATCAAAATGACTGCCGTACCGCCGCCTGCAAACATTGCTACACTGATGCCGCTGGGTAAGTGGATATTAAACGCCCACTTACCTGTCTCGTGGCTACAGCGTCCTCGCCGGCTTCACCTTGTGTCTTCACAGAGTTGGTGGACAAATGCATTGGTTCCCGCATCCACATTATCATGAAGAACGACAAAGAGATGGTTGGCACTCTATTGGGCTTTGATGACTTTGTGAACATGCTACTGGACGATGTGACGGAGTACGAGAACACGCCAGACGGTCGCCGCATCACCAAATTGGATCAGATTCTGCTGAATGGCAACAACATAACAATGGTGCGTAGTACTTGTGTCTGGTATGAGTTAAGTCATTTCAGTGATTCTCATTACAGTTGGTACCCGGAGGCGAGCTGGCGGAGTAGCAAATATTCCATTTATAAGCATAAATTATACTTTTGTAAAATAACACAAAAAAATCAAGACTTTTTCATGAGCATGTGTGGCGCTTACAGAGGTATGTTAAGAATTCACATTCAGTCGGTGCATGTTAGGCGCAAGTTAACAGAGGCGCTGGAATTGAAATGAGAAGAAATTGATAAATAATGGAAATAATTATTTCAAGTTTCTACTTTCTAATTGTTTGTGGATTATGTATGTGGCTTTAATCTATAACAATTAAGCATTTCGTTTTTAAGAATCATAACTATACAGTTATTAATCCGTGTGCATTGCTGGCGCATGCGCTTTACCATTTTGAGCATAACTTCTGCCGTTGTAGCAGTCAACATGTGCCATAAATATTAACGTCTTTCCTATGGCTAAAAAGCTTGTTTAGCGGGTGCAATGCGCCGCTCTCCCGCCTTCCGCTCTTGACGCAGTCGACGCCGATATAACATAACGTTCAGAGCGGCACCAAACTTCAACGGAAGTAGAACAAACCAAGCGGAAACAGAACCACACGGCAACTGCACGGCACGGCACGGGCACCGCTACGCTTCGCACGAATATGGAAAAGTTGTTCATCAACAAATACCACTGATAAAGGTAGTTTTTGTTTAGGGCAAACTTTTGTGAATAGGAATGACAAATTATAATTGTAAGCGACCGAAACTCGTGTGGGCCTAGGCATTACTCTCTCTCTGGGGTCGGTCGGTCAGTGAAAAAGTGAATTTTTCTCGTCATCGTCGTCGGTGTTTCGCTTTCGGTATCTGTATCCATTGTCGTCTAGCAGCAGAGTTGCTGCGTGGGCATTTGAATAACTACTCCAAAATGGGCTCCCAATAATTATGATTGCGTGAAGAAATCAATAGACAACAATGGCCAGCAAGCCCATGAGCAGCAGCTGCCAGAGCATTGCAACGGCGGCCAGTAGTGCCGCCACCACAGCAGCCGCCGTCTCCATCTCTGCCTCGAACGCCACCTCCGTGGGCTCACTCATAGCCGCCGCCTGTCAGCAACAGCAGCAGCAGCAGCAGCACCATCACCACGAGAACCAGCAGACGCAGCACCAGTCACATCAGCCATCATCGCACTATGTCAATGGCACTGGCAGCCTGGGTCGCCTCAAGTTCCACAAGAGTCTCGATGCCAGCGATGAGGAGATCGAGTATGCGCAGGTATGTCCAACTAGCAGACATTTCTAATCCAATTGAAATGTCCATGTGTGTCCGTACGTCCGTCCGTCCGTTCGTCCTCTTATTGAGTCATAATGCGACAAGGTCCTGTGCAGCATTGCCTCAATTGAAATTGTCTTGTGTGTGCGGATGCGGGTGGGTGTATGGGCCAGGGTATGGATACTGGGTTCAAGTGGGTGGTTGGATTTTACTTATTTTGGTGGTGGGTTTGTCCTGCTCCTGCTTATTGCATTGCTCGCTGCGGGAGGTTGGGGACCAAGGTTGAAGGCCCAGCCGCCCTCTCAGCTGTTTAACCTTTGGGTGGTTCACTCTCTCATCGTTATGCATAGTTTACGCTTCACCAAACCGCGCGGCGGCATCGGCGGCGGCGTCTTCGATCAAGTGTTAATAATTCAATGCCCCGGAAATTGTCATATATACGAGTACTCATACCACACACACACATAAGGAACCCACCCAACCAGCGATGAAGCAGCGGCAGGCCGTGACTTTGGCCAAGGCAATTAGGGAGCACAAAAATTAACCAGTTGGGGTTATCATATTGGAAAAAATCACATAGGCAGGGGATAACCGATGGGTTTGAGTCATGGGCATTTTTATAGTTAATTTTTCTTGGTCGTGGGTAAAGTTAGTTATTGTCCAATACCCGATCTACTCTCCACAAAGAGCAGCCACAGATATTGGGCATTGCTTTTAGGTTATAAATTCCTTCCCGAATTAAATCACTTAATTCTTTTAATGGCCATTTGTGTGTAGATATAATCAAAAGACTTTTGATTACTGTTTCCACTTTTAATAAAATGTTGTAGAAATATTTATATCCATGTAATTCCCACACAATATGCCCCGCAGGAGTTCTGCCATGGAGCGGGGTGGCTAAAGCCTTTTCAGTCCAGTTATTACGGTTCGCACAATGGTACCGTTAATGAAAGCGCACTGGCGCTGCTCTATCTATGTATTTGTATCTGTATCTGTAGCTGTGCTGTGTCTCTGTGTTTGTGTGAAATTTGTTTGGTTTTCTTTTCCCTTTCTCCACTTCCGTCGTAACGGATAGGATATAGGATGGGATAGGATAGTGCGGGGGAGTGGAGCTGTGCCCAGTGAAAGTGTTGCCTGCTGCCGGGGGGCGGCCTGCTGCCTTCATCGTGTATTCATGGAAATGTTTTCAATAAAAGCAGGAAGAAGAGCGAAGGGGGAGTGAGGGTGGGGGGGGTGGAATAGGTTTAGATACCTTTGAGCAAACACCACATTTTTATGGTCTGGCCGCACCTGGCGGCCATTTGGTGTGCCACATTGCACAGGCACCGGCACAGCCATAGACCAGACCAGAGTGTAAATAACCGGAAGTGCTGCGGAATAGTTGAGCATTCACAAGAGGCAACTTTCACCCACTAATCAACACTTAATCCTCATCCTCTACCCGTCTAGCTATCGCAGTCCACCCACATTCTGGGCCGCCACAAGTCGGAGCGTTTTTTGGCCTCCTCCAAGCCGGACGAGGATCGTCGCCGTCGCACCATCATTGTGGAGAAGAAGAACGATTCGTATGGCTTCACGCTGCAGAGCTATGGCATCCACTACAAGCGGGATGAGGAGCTGGAGATGATCACCTACGTGGACTATGTGGAGTACGGTGGTCCGGCCTATCGATCGGGCATGCGAGAGGGCGACGTGATACTCTCCATCAATGGCAGGGACATGGAGAAGGCCGATCACAAGACCATTGTGGAGTTCATTAAGCAATGCGACACGCGAATGCGAATGGTGGTGCTCTTTGAGGATTGTGTGAGGAAGGTGAGTGGCAAATGGAAGCTCTGTAGCTGATCCCTCAATAAATGGTTTCCTTTTTTAGGTGGATCTTCACATGCGTTACATCCAGCTGCAAAGCATGCTGCAGCATAAAATGAACGAACTGGAGCGTGTGCATCTGAGGGAGCGAGAGCTGCTCGAGGGCAAGTGGAAGACGCACAGCCTGCCGGCGAGGAAGAAGGCCAATGCCAATACATCGCCCAGCGATGGCGAAGGCGTCTCCCCCACTGAGGTGGCAGCTGAAGCGGGCTTCTATCGTCCCGCCCTGTCCACCGAGGATGTGGGGAATATCGCGGCACGCCAGCAGGCAGCAGCTGGGGGTGCGATCATACCGCCACCTGCTCAGTTTATGCTCACGTATCATTATCTGGATCCCACATATCGCTACGTGCTGCGGCCCACGCATGGCAGCTCCGAGGACTACATCGATGGCCTGGGCCTGCAGCGCAGCAGCAGCGACCATCAGCCGACGGCCCAGCGCTTCCTGCTGCATCGCACCGAGTCCATGGACACGAACACGATCAGTCAGCCCACCACCACTGCTGCGTCACAGTACCACAGCACCAGCAGCGGTGGGGCCACGGTGAAGCCACCCGCTCCTCCGCCACGAACCTGCGAGAAGCACAAGCCGCCAGCCAAGCCGCCAAAGGCGGAGAAGGAGAAGTCCGCCTCGGGCAAGCACTACCATGTGGGGCACTCGTGCAATCCTTGCCTCGGGCACTTTCGCTGGAAGTCAACGGAGAAGACAGCCCTGACGGCCGGGGATAATGTCAGCCTCGATGCCTACGATCTGGCCAGCCCCTGCTGCGACACGCAGTGTGTGCCCAGTCGACGACGTCATCGCCAGCACAAGGAGCACAGCCACAAGCACAAGCACCGCGAGCGGGAACGGGAGAGAGTGGAAAGCAAGGAGCAGCGTACTCGACCCAAGTCCCAGTCGCATGCCTCGCCCAGTGCCAATGGGGGAGCGCAGGGACACCACCACCATCATCATCATCACCATCACAGTCGTGAGCAGCAGCAGCAGCAAGTGTTGCAACAGCAACAACAGCCCGTGCCGCATCATCATCACTACCATCATCCACAGCAGGGACAGACTACACCAACGCTCTGCCATGCCAATTCTCAGTCGGGCAGCACTCGTTCCCGCTACTTTGATCTGGCCTCTGGCCTGGCCAGCCACTGTAGCCTCCACTCCTGCACTTCCAGCGAGTTTGCGCCAGCAGACTCCGCCTCCTACACCACCTCCATCAGCACGGATACGCTGTTCTGGGATCCCAAGAGCGAGACGGGACAGTCGCGACAGCATTCCACCAAGTCCAGGCAATCCTACGAGCAGCCACACCACCAACAACAACAGCAGCAACCACAACAGCAACAGCAACCACAACTGCAACCCCAGCAGCAACAACATTCACATCAGCAGCAACAACACCAGCCCCAGCCCCATCAGGTGCCACACCATCATCATCATCACCATCCTGGCTATCATCAGCGCTACCATGTGACGACCACACAGGTGCAGCCATCGCAGATCTACCCCAACACCATTGCCTACGTGCAGAAGCCCAAGTCCTGGGACAATCTGGCCACCAAGGCAGCAGCGGCGGGTAACTATGGCTTCGGCTATGGCTATCTGGACACGGCGGCCGTGAAGCCGCCGTTGAAGCTGCAGATCGCACAGCAACGCCACTCGATGCCGCGTCGCAATCCCTACGGACGCTTCTCCACCTACGGCGATGTGGAGAACTACGCCCCGCCGCCCACGGAATTTGTGGGCGAACTGACAACCACCACAACAACGACGATTACAGCCAAGTCCACGGAGGAGCTGCTGGCCGCCTGCGACTGCCTGTCGCCGCAGCAACAAGCGGCACTCAAGGCCGCGCAATATCAGCTGAGCCAAAACCAGAAGCTGACCCACCAGAACTCCTGTCAAATGGGCTACTACTCGCATCTGCCACGACCCACAACAGATGTGGGCACCTCCACCGGTCAACAGGTGCACAATGGGGCGGGGGATGTGTCCACGGTGTCGGAGGCAACGCGTTTGTAAGGCACGTCTAACAATACTCTCGGTGATCTATGCAAGAACCGTCTAAAGAATGCACCCAGAAAGGTGTTTCCACATCGAAATCATTAGAAATCATAACTAAGCCAAATTTTTAAACACAGAATCAATATTGCATAACCAAACTATAAGAAGTGTGTGCATACAGTGCGTTTCATAACTGTAGCTTGGTCTGGGCATGGTTCCCCACATGACAATACCGATAAGGGAATACAAGATCCTACCAGCAGTAGATTCAAAGTAAAAGTCTTATAGTTGTTAGACCCACTGTATGTAGGCACACAACTAGAACGAAGACGCATTGACGTTTTGGATTTATTGAAAGACTGAAGCTATGCGCATATTCCAAATGAGAGATAAATCTGGCGTCTTATATTGATAGTTAGTTGATGATTATTATGCATATATATTATATATATAGTGTATCCGTAATTGCCATATAATATGGTTACCTATCATGCATCTAAATATATGTAGCTACTGTTTTATCGATCATATATAAATACTGTGTAACCAGCAGAAACAATGTAATTTATTTCATTGTGATACGAGTGAATAGGGGCAAGGCACTAAAAAACCGCAACAATTTTAGTCGCAATTTTATCAAACAAATGGATAAACCAAAAAACTCGAAAAACAAAACGCTTTTATGTAATGCAAAATGCAAAATACAAGAAATGTAAAATTTAAATGTTAATGTACTTAAATGTAATGCAAAATAAAACTCAAACAAATGTGTGTTCCACGTAGTATAAAATTAGAAAGAGGGATATATTATTTCAAATTATATTAACCCCCAACGGATACTCTCCACTCTCCCTGTGGCAGTCAGCTGTTCCGCTGTGGAGAGTTTCGTTTCGATGTTCAACCCCCGCGAGAACTGTCAGAAAACGCCGACTGGCGGCCGACACTGGCACTCAGCGAGCTGTCAGATTGGCAAAAAAATCAATACCAACCCCCAACCCTCCTCGTTAAAAATGTAAATGCGAAAAAATTCAATACTGTGCAGCCATACGCGACGGTCGCAGCGATTCACCATTCTCTCACATACTCTCTGCCCCCCACACGCACGGCACCGCAGTCCAGGAAAAACGCCCGAAAGTTGTCCAAAGTTCGCAACGGTAACTGAAGCTAAAGCTGCTGTCCCAATCCCTGGCCGTGTTCCCACACATCTCGAGCCCACACGCCAGTGCCTGTGAAATTGCCTGCAAAACCGGCAAAAAAAAAGAAGAAACGCGAACGGAACGGCAAATAGTGTGAAAAGTGAAAGAAAAGTGCAACCTGCGACATTCATCATCTGGGATACCGGACTCCAAGCACACACACACCACACACATTCATTCATTCATTCATTCATTCATACATCGTACATCGTACATATGTCAAGTGCAGGGCGCCAGGAACAAAGCTAGAAGACGGCGTCGTCAGCGGGAGCGCCACTAGAATCAGCAGCAGCAGCAGCGGCAACATACGCTAATTTGATTGCTCGACGGCGGCTGCGGCAGCAACGGCGTCGTCGTCGGTGGTCGCGGTGACGACAACAGCAACAACAACAACAACAACAACGACAACGACAACGACACCAATAGCAACAGCAGCAACAGCAACAACAATAAGCTGCAAAAACGGCTTTGGAGGCGTCTCTGCTCTGGTGTCGTCTTCGGCGTCCTGCCAGCGGCTGTGACGGAGGAGACCACCGCTCCTGCTCCCCTGGCTACTGCTGCTGTTGTTGCTATTGTGGCTATTGGTGGCGGCAACAGTTACAACAATGATAAGGTAAGTTTGGCCACCAAAGGATTTGTTGCATACCACAGGGTGCTGCAGGGCGCTGAAATTTCGATAAATTGCCAATTAAATGTGAAATTCAAATGGTCCTACGGCAAACAGTCAAACATCTCCAAATAAAAAGGGACCAAAAGGAGTGAAATGTCCAAAGGCAACGGAAAAAGTTCTCCGCGTGGCCACTCCACATCCGGTTTGCTAGCAGCAGGCAGCAGCCTTGGGACAAAGTTTTGTGTGCACTTTTGTGGAGCTACTTTCAGATGTCTGCCCAGAGATATGAGAAGTGTAACTTTCGGACTGACTGTCTGTCTGTCCGTCCGTATCATTAGGCTAAAGTTGGGCCACTCAAGCAGTTGGTTTTTATATAAATTTGCAGCTCTACAGTGTTATTTTTTTTGTTGCCGCTCTGCCATTAATTATGAAGGCTGAACTATGCCAAAGTTTTGCAGATTCCCGCCAGCGTGTCCTTTGTGCCTGCTCAATTGTTAAACCGAAATTCATAAGTCCTAATGACTGGTGGGGCATGCAGGGCAGGAGTAAGAGAGCAAGGGAGCCATAGAGCATTGCATTGCTAGGGCTGTGCTGGCGGCAGGAGGAGTGGGTTAGAGAAAGGCGTCTGTGGGGCAGACAACTTCAAGTTTGCTGCGGATGCGGACGTAGCATGTACGACAACATCATTATCAGCGTTGCCAGCGTCAAAATGCCATTAAATGTGTAGCCTACAATGCCTTTGAAGGATTACACACCCACCAGAGGAGTTTACTCCTTACTCCTTCTCCCCCACACTATGGCCCGCTCTTGCCTTTGGTCTTTCCCTGTCGCTCCTACTGCAACTGCATGCTTGTTTACTCCCACACAGAGACACACACTCGCAACGCGCAGAAGAAGTAAGAAAGGAAAGGAAATAGAGAAACGCGAGTCGAAGTGGTTAATACCCTTGGAAATGTAATGAGACATTGGAAATTATTTTCTGTGATTTTTATGAGACTTTTTCGATGGCAACAATAGGAAATTCAATTAAATACTTTTCTGTGTAAAGTAGCTGCCAGATATGAAGCTACGAAGCTGAAGAATCGGATTGGGAGCAGGTCGTTCCATAAAATTCGAAAACTCTCTGCACTCCAACTTTTAAGTAAATATCCACAATACCCAACCCTTTAAGGGTGTGCAAAAAAAAGAAATGGGCAAAAAAATGTGCAGCAAGCACAGAGAAACAGAAAGAGAGAGCGAGCACGCGGAGTAGCAGCGAATAGTTGTTGGTATTGTTGCTTCAAGAGTGCTGGCGGGCATTGAAAAACCCACACACACACACACGGAGAGAGACTGAAGCACGCACGCACACACTCACTCCCTCAAATAGATGGAAGGACCTCCGCCTGGCAGTCAGTCAAAAGCCTGCTCTCCTGCTCCCCTGCGCTCTTTCCCGCTCTGTCTGGGCGGGCGCCAAAGTGCGTTGCATACTCCGTTCCTTTTATTTTGTGTTATTTTTTTTTCTCTTTTTTGTTGCACGCTTTGTTTGGCTGGGATTGGGATTTTCCCCAACAGCAGTTGTACTCGCTCTCGTTCGTAGCTGTTGCTGTTGTTGCACATATTGTCACACAGGCAACAACACGCACACGCAACAACATGTACGACAACAGGAGGAGCAGCAGCAGGAGAGCGCTAGAAAGGAGAAAAAACTTTGCCACGTTAACTGCTGACTGATTGAACAGGCGACAAAAGTGTCACAGGCGTAAATTTCTGCAGCAGCTAGAGCAAAGTTTAAAGTTTAAGTTTTAATTAAAAAGGGTAATAGGAGAGTACCTAAATATTTTCAAACTAACACTTCAATTAAATATTTCCGAGTTCATTTTCTAATACTCAACCCAAACGTATACGACACATTTGCTGCCTGTGCGACAGTGAATGTCCCAGCTTTGCCCTGCACTAACTGTAAATGTGCGCTTAGAAGACAGAGAAAGAGAGAACGACAGACACAGGCAGAGGCCAGGACAGCAGGGGCTGCAGCAGGAGGGTGTTAATGAGCAACAGCGCAGTGGCAACGACTTTGCTTAGTATTTGTGTTTCTTCATTTCCGGTTTCCACATGTTGACATGCTGATGATGTTGGTTAAGTTCTGCTGCTGCTGCAGCATGCTGTTGCTGCTGGGTGATGATGACAATGATGAAGTCAGCACAGAGAGGCAGCAGGGGCATCCGCCAGTGGCAGTGGCAAAGTCACGAGAGGTCTGTCATTCAGTGAGTGAGTGGGCTTGCGGCTGGCCTCTGCCAGTCAGACCAGTCCCCATTTAATTGTGTCTGCTCTACTCCACCTTCTACTTTGCTCTCTACTTCACTCTCATCTTCTTTGTTAATGCTGCGTATGCGTAATTTTCATATTATGCCACTTTAATGCGCTAAATGAAAACTTAATTTGATTAGGAGGTGCCATAAATATCAGCGTGTGTGCACACACATTAGAGTGTGTCCCCTGTCGCCCAATTGACTTGTTGGTCGACCCCTTACCGAGGTGACGCATATTTGACGCAGCTTCCTTTGTCCCTGACTGACTGCCTACCCTGAACAAACACACACAAAAACCAAACTACATTTACATCATCTCCAGGCCACATCTCCCGGCCCCATCTCCAGTGCCATCTTCAGTTCCCATTTGGGCTGGCTACGGGCTTCTGGCTGCCTGATGAGCTCATATTGAAAGTTTTTGTGCTCCATGGGGCGACCTAGTTTTTGGCCAAAGCCAAATCAATGTGGCCGCTGCGGCGCCATTTGCACTGCCGACCAACCGACCCTTTTGTGCATTTACTCAGCTCCACTCTGCTTTGCCTTCTGTTCTGTTCGACATTTTCCTGGTTCTGGTACGGGCACGGGTTCGGCATCGGGTTCCCGGCAGTTGGCGGGTCGGCGGTCGCTTTCCCTCTTGTGTTTTTTGTTCAAACAGTTTCGCCTGGTCGCCTGGTCGCCTGGTCGGGCGTTATTAATTGAGCTTTTGATGCATAGCTGCCCTCCTCCGCTTATCTCATCCTCCCCCCACCGACAGTCAGCATAACGATTGTCTCATCCCATTTCATCTTCATTCGCTTCCATGCCATCATCCATCTGTTCGTGTGCACTTAAAAGGCATCGTAATTGTTTTTACCAAATTGAAATTTTAATTGAATTCGTATTGGTGTCGTCGTATCGTGGCGGTCATTCATGAATCTATGAATCCGGTAAATGTGTTATAGTACGAGTACTGTGTCTGCTGAGTTCCATTCAAACTTTTATGACGTTCAATCGTAACGATTTGCTGTTTGTCTTTTGGTGTTAGACAAAAGCCTGCGGCATTTCAAATACGATATTTTTGAGATTTTTGTGCCTGATTTATGGCACATAAAAATTAAAATTGTAATATGCATTGTTTTGGGGGTTTGGGAACGGGGTAAGAACGGGGCAAAAAAGCCGCATAGGCATTTCATTTCATTGCATGCAAAGCATCATTGACAGCCTCATCATCATTATCATTATCCACGTCAACAATGGTTGAATGAGCGGCTGAATGAATCTCAAGTGGGTAGTCATCTATGCCACGATAGCGAGGGGCGATAGATACATAGAAGATAGATAGAAAGATAGATGGATAGATACATGCTAGGAAATGCATGATTCAGTTTGTTTATTTTGTGGGATAGTTTTTGAGTGAGTCTACCCATGGAATGAATATGTCCATCATCTCTACTCATTTAGTATGCCAAGTGCTGCCACGTTGCCTCGTTGCACTTTTGATTAATACTTATGGAAGCGCTTGCCTCTTTTTTGTTGCAGCAGAACCGATTCACAAACATAACACATTGCGGAGGAGGTTGAGAAGAACGGCATGGT